GGGGCCAATGTCAAGAGAAATCGCCAGTGCTTCCGTGGGATCGGCACCAAGCGGGAATCGGAGTACTATCAGGTTGTTGTGGCGTATACTGTTCACAGGCTTGTAGCTGACGCACTCTACACCGACATTATCTGAATGGACGTCTTGCAGTGGAGATGCTACGGTGACAAAAAGCGGGGCCAGCGGGAGTTTACGTAGTGAGTTTTGGGGTAGGTGGGCCCAACCGACTTCGAGAAAATCCGTCGTTTTTCCGGAACGGTGGGCAATAGGGCCGCGGTGTCCACCGAGGGGAAGGGCGAGAGTGACTACGTTCGATGTGGTCTGCTCTTTCAATAGCGTTCTCCTCAAAAGCAGGAGGTTGTCAGAAAGTGCTCATTAAGAGAGCCCTTTCTAAGGTGATAGTGAGTGGCTTCCCCAGCGTCCACAGATGCTATTGAGCGGTACGCCTTCTGGCACAGATAGAGTAGCTCGTCGGCGAACTGGCGTGGAGTTTCCTCTGGTTCATGTCTTCTGTTAAAACAAACGTTCGGATCGCATGGCCGATCCAGGACCAAGGAGGGAATAAGTGGCGTAGGTGTGCACACAGAATAGCGTATGGGGTGGCGCTTTACACTCCCGCGTTACGTCCCTGGCAACTTTGTTTATTACCAAGGTGTATGAGGAGGACGTGTCTGCTTTCCGCCCCAGGTAAAAAAAACAAGGAGATTGTCCATTCGAAAAATTCATCTGAGCCGTCAAAATTGTGGGACGAGGAGGGAATAGTGTGGCTAACTGTCAACATAGGGCGTGAGAAAACGGTTGCATCGTGGTTGCGCACTGCCATCCCTGCAATGGGCAGGCTTGCTACGATTGACGTTCCTTGGGTTGTTGATTCCGTTACTACCGGTGAATCTCTTGTTGAATCTCCTTTCTTCGCTACTTCTCCTTCGTGTACTTTCAGATTTCCTTCTTGAGGCATTATGCAGTCCATGTTTTCACAACCAGACCAGAAAGGGTCGGATTAAGAGTCCTAATATGTTCGTTTATTGGTAAATAGGTAACGACAAAAAGGGACTGAAGGGGCGACAAAGTGTTTGATTACCAAATGCGATAAACAACTTTGACTTCCTTTAATTTCTCTTGTCCTGGCCTCTCGATTTCACAATCTCTAGGTCTCCACTCTGAGTCACCTTGCGCTCACGTGCTTTCACTTCAAACAAACAAAAGCAAGAAAACGATGGTCAGGCAGTCACGTATATAAAAGATTAAAACAAATATAGGGTTGGCTATCGGACTGTTACAGCACCCCCTTCTCAATATGCAGTCCCGTCCTCAGGACCGATGATTGGCTCGCTGTGAGTGGCGCCGATCTCAACTTCGTCCGTCGGGTGAGGTACGAGGTGGGACGGAACGATAGGCAGGGAGTCGGTTTGAGTTTATCGAACCATGTAGTAAACGTGAGCCCCTCCGGCTTGCGTTCATCCCGGATGATGTAGGTGTTGTGCAGAAAGACGTCGGTGATCACGAACGGACCCTTCCACGGATAGAATGATTTGGCCGGAGTACCAATGGGAGGTGTGGATATGTGCCGCAGAACTAGATCGCCATATTTGTACGGCAAGCCATGGGCGTTCCGACCGAGGTCCAAGTTGAGGTCCTCTCTAACCGGGTTGTGGGTAAGTCGGAGTATTTGTCGTAGGTCTAAGGCAAAATTACCCGGCGTACCAGCCTCTGACGTGTACATGGGAAATTGTGAATCGGAAGGTAGTCGAATTTTATGTCCGGTAAGCATCAAAAAGGGTACATAGTCTGTCCACTTATTTACGGTGGCCCTAAAGGCCATGACTGCGAATGACAGCTGGGAGTTCCAGTTGTGTGCGTGGTGATCCTCATTGAAGGCCCTGAGCAAAATGATGATCTTGTGATTGGCCCGTTCGACTAGGTCATTCCTTTCGAGGTGTGCAGTGGTGATTCTGGCTTTGCGTATAAGTAGTAAGTCGCAAACGTCGCAGACCAGATGGCTTTTAAATTTTGCCCCACAATCTTAATGCAGGGTGATAGGGGCCCCGAAGTGGCAAATCCATTCGGTGAGAAAAGCCTGTGCAACGGACACCGCCTCTTGGCGGCGTAAGGGTACCGCTTCAGTGCTGTAACAGACCGGAAACAAACCGTATGTTTGTTTTAATCTTTTATATACATGATTTCCTGACCATTCTTTTCTTGCTTTTGCTTGTTTGAAGCGAACGCATGTGAGCGCTAGGAGGTGACTCAGAGTGTCAGAGTTTTTTTTATCGTCTTTGGTCCGTTGTCGCTTAGCTCCATCCTTGCGGTTAGTTACACAGGATAGTCCATACTTCTGTTCACCTTCTCGCGTTACATTTGCGTTGAACTACGGCATGCAGTATATTTCGCAGCCGAAAGTAATGTCCATGTGCCGTTATTCCATGGTACTGGATATTTTTCAGTTTTTAGGACCTCTCATTTTAATTCCAGGACATTTTTACCTTTTTAGTTATCTACCAATTCCCTGATGTGATTATAAACAAGTCCTATCGCCTCGGCCTCCAGACACAAATTCTTCAATATGGGACAACTTATTTCAGGTCCGGTGACGCTTAAGGACACAAAATTTTGCCAAAACGGCATGTTTTCTGTCGCGGCTTCGAGCATGCAGGGTTGGCGAGTTCGCATGGAGGACTCATTTACTTGCTTCCTTAATTTGCCCGATGATCCTTCAGCTGCATACTTTGCTATCTTTGATGGTCATGGTGGAAACGGTGTGTCGGAGTACGCGGCTTCACATCTGCACACAGCAATCACCTCCCTGCCAGAATATGGTAAAGTAATCCAGTTTTTAAACACCTGTGCTTCAAGATTATAAGTTCACCACCACCACCACCACTGCTTACACGGAGTCATAATATTTATTATCGCTTCAATACAAGCGAAAATACGAAACTCGGGAAGTAATTTAGAAGAAGCTGATGTGATTGTTGGGACCAGAATTTTATTCGCCTGACGTTTCGAAATCATCGCAGATCCATCGTCAGAGGCAATAGCAGAAACAGATAATTCATACACAGGGATAGAGTCGCTATGCTACTGCATTAGGCATCAGATAATGAGACCAAAAGACCCACTACCGCGGCAGGAAACATATGGAGTCGTCTATAGCATCTGATGCAGTTGCGGACAACGCAACTACGTCGGAGAAACTGGAAGATTTCTCAAAGCGTGAATAGCTGAACACGCGGCGGCAGTGTGGAGAAATGACGCCAATTCACAAGTCGCGGCTCCTTCGAGGAGATCCGGCCACACATTCAAATTTGTGGAGACCAAAATTCTCGCGAGTGGTGAAGATCCTGCGGGTCGCGAGTTACTTCAATCCCGGTTCATGGGCCTCCAGTCTATAAACAAGTGCAACGACCTGCTCAAACCCATATTCGGTGCTGAGGCTCAGTTTGGCCAAAGGAATTCGCCATTCGGGCAATGCACGGGCGAACACGTCGTCTGATGCCTGTCGCAAGGAGCCAGATAGTCGAGCAATCATGAAGCTCGAGCCTAGCATGCGCGATGAAAGTTCCACAGGTCAAGACCCGCACGCCGGCTATCAAGCAATTAGCACACAAGCCGGCAACTATCTTCGATAGGGGGAGCCGTTAATTGTCATAGGTATGCAGTAGCATAGGGATCCACGACGGATTTAGAAGCGTCAGACGAATAAAGTTCTTGTCCCAGCCATCACATCGGCATCTTCTGGATTGACTACCCTGCAGTATAATCCCAAGGACGTCAAGTATGCCAAAATCTCGGCTTTCAAATGTGGTTATTTCCAACTTCCCACAAAAAACCGCACTCGAAAAAGTGACTATTTTGGTATATGACTTTATATTAATTTTCGATGTCCTTATAAAAATCAAATATATTTTATGGAAAGCACACGCAAGCCTATCCTTTCTTGTGCCCATTTAGTAGCAAATAATGTCTTTTTTAAAGCCTATACTCGAAGAAAGGGCATCTTTTGATTTTTTAAAAAAGCTTGTAAGCATGAGATTTCTTAAGACCATGCAATACTAATTCAAAGCAATTATTATACCCATCCTCCTCATTTGCTCTGCCTATTAACCAACGGCAATGCTCTTATTCCTTTTAGCTAAGGGAGATGTGGAAAAGGCCCTTCGACTGGGATTCCTCAGTCTTGATTCCGAAATGCGTACCAGGTTTTCCCATCAACCCACTACGAAATCGTCAAAGGCCGACCACAGTCCCAGACTCTCACACAAGGAGACCGGTGGGAGTGTCAGCAGCAGCGGCGCTGCAAACACCATTGTTGGCAGCCCTAACAACTGTAGTAGGTCCTCAGTCCTATCTTCGTCTGTCGGGGATGTTGGCGGCTCCACGTGCATCGTGCTACTCGTCCGCGATGGGCAAATCTATTGTGCCAACTGTGGGGACAGCCGAGCCGTCATTAGTTGCCTCGGTGTTGCAGAAGCCTTCTCAACCGACCACAAACCCAGTCTGCCGAGGGAACGTTCGCGCATCCTGGCAGCGGGTGGGTGGATCAGTGGTGGCAATCGCGTGAATGGTAATTTGGCCTTGTCCCGAGCCCTGGGCGACTTCACCTTCAAGCGCAATCCCCAGTTGTCACCTGTAGATCAGATTATTTCCCCAGAACCGGATGTCAGCTGCAGAGACATTCGTCCCGAGGAGGACGAGTTCATTGTCATGGGCTGTGATGGCATCTGGGACGTTCTCACCGACCAGGAGGTTGTGCACTTTGTTCGTAGTCGTCTGGCTGCCGGCAGTCCGCCTGATTCGGTTAGTTTGCCCTTTGTTTAAATTTTTTCAGAATCAACTGGTATACGCGCAGACTAACTGCCTCCAAGTTCAAGATTTGTTTCCTTG